GAGCAGGGAGCCCGATGTGGGACTCGATCCCGGGACTCCAGGATCATGACCTGAGCCGAAGGCAGTCGCTTAACCGACTGAGCCACCCAGGCGCCGCATTTTTAGTTTTAATAGAAATACTTTTGGTCACGAGATGGGGATAATTCAAACTGAAAATATTAAAAAAATAATAAAACAAAGGGAATCCCTTCCACCTGCCAGACATGATTACTATTAACAGTTTGAATATTGGTCCAATCTTTTTGTTTATGTAATCATTATTTGTAAACACAAAAGAAATTATATCATACATATTGTTCTGTAAACTTTTTTTCTTTTTCTTAACAATGTATCATGAGCATCTTTCCTTGTTGAGGCATAAAATCTGTAAAAAAAAAAAAAAAAATCCCAGGATGTGTGGTAATGGACCAGTATGCATCCACAGTTTATCAAAATATTTAAAGCAAAATGGATGGAAGTCCTAAATGTGAGACAGGAAACCATTAAAATCCTAAAGGAGAATATAGGCAGCAACCTCTGTGACCTCGGCTACAACAACTTCTTAATAGACACATCTCTGAAGGCAAGGGAAACAAAAGCAACAATGAACTATTGGGACTTCATCAAGATAAAAATTCTGCACAGCAAGGGAACAGTCAATCAAACTAAAAGGCAGCCTATGGAAAGGCAGAAGATATTTGCAAATGACTTATCTGATAAAGGGTTAGTATCCAAAATCTATAAAGAAGTTATCAAACTCAACACCCCAAAAATAAATAATCCAGTTAAGAAATGGGCAGAAGGGGCACCTGGGTGGCTCAGTTGGTTAAGCATCTGCCTTCGCCTCAGGTCATGATCCCAGGGTCCTGGGATAGAGCCCCGCGTCAGGCTCCCTGCTCAGTGGGGAGCCTGCTTCTCCCTCCCCCTCTGCCTGCCTCTCTGCCTACTTGTGCTCTCTATCTCTCTGTCAAATAAATAAATAAAATCTTTAAAAAAAAAAGAAATGGGCAGAAGACATGAAAAGACATTTTTCCAAAAAAGACATACAGATGGCTAACAGACACATGAAAAGATGCTCAACATCACTCATCATCAGGGAAATACAAATCAAAACCATGATGAAATATCACCTCACACTGGTCAGAATAACTAAAATTAACAACTCAGGAAACAACAGATGTTGGCAAGGATACAGGTTGTGGAGAAAGGGGAACCCTCTTACCCTGTTGGTGGGAATGCAAACTGGTGCAGCCACTCTGGAAAACAGGATGGAGGTTCCTTAGAAAGTTAAAAATAGAACTACCCTGTGATCTAGCAATTGCACTACTAGGTACTTGCCCAAAAGATACAAAAGTACAGATTCGAAGGGGCACATGCACCCTGATGTGGTGTCATGCAGTATTTGTCTTTCTCTGGTTTATTTCATTTAGCATAATGCCTTCAGCATCCATCCACACTGTTGCAAATGGCAGGATTTCCTTCTTTCTCATGGGAATAATACTCTCTTGTGTATATATACACCATATTTCTTTATTCATTCATCTGTTGATGGACAATTAGTTTAAATTCATGTCTTAGCTACTGTGAATATGTTGCATTGAACATAGGAGAGCAGATATCTCTTTGATATCCTGTTTTCATTTCCTTTGGATGTATACCTGGATGTGGGATTGCTAGATTGTGCAGTAGTTCTATTTTCATTTTTTAATTTTTTTTGAAGAATCTCCAAACTGCTCTCCATAGGGGCTGTACCAATTTTCATACTTACCAACAGTGCACAAGGGTTCATTTTTTTCTACATCTTTGCCAACACATATTATCTCTTGTCTTTTTGTTGATAGGGATTCTAATAGGTGTGAGGTGATATTTCATTGTGTTTTGATTTGCATTTCCCTGATATTAGTGACATTAAGCATCTTTTCATGTATTCTTTGACCATTTGTATGTCTTCTTTGAGAAAGTGTCTGTTTGGTTCCTCTGACCATTATTTAATTGTGATGGTTTTGTTTGTTTGTTTTTACTATTGAGTTGTATGAGTTCTTTACATATATTGGATATTAACACCTTACCAGATATATGATTTGCAACTATTTTCTCCCACTCCATAGCTTGCCTTTTCATTTTGTTGATTTTTTTTTCTGTGTAGAAGCTTTTCAGTTTTGACGTAGTCCTACTTGTTTATTTTTGCTTTTGTTGCCTTTGCTTTTGGTGTCAAATCCAAAAGTCATTGCCAAGAATGCTATCATGGAGTTTTCTTCTGGTTTTATGGTTTCAGGTCTTAGTTTACTCCATTTCAAATTGATTTTTGTGTATGGTGTAAGATAGTGGTCTAGTTTCATTATTTTTCATCTGGCTGTCCAGTTTTCCCAACATCATTTACTGAAGAGACTATCCTTTCTGCATTTATATCATTGACTCCTTTGTCATAAATTAATTGACTATATACCCATGGGCTTATTCCTGGGCTCTCTATTCTGTCCCATTGATCTATGTGTCTGTTTTTATGCCAATACCATACTATTTGTTTACTACAGCTTTTTAATATAGTTTGAAATCAAGAAGTGTGATACCTCCAGTTTTATTCTTTATTCTCAAGATTGTTTTGGCTATCCAGGATCTTTTGTGATTCCATACAAATATTAGGATTTTTTAAAATTTTTGTAAAAAATGTTATTGGAATTTTGGTAAGGATTGCATTGGATCTATAGATTGCTTTGTGTAGTATGGCCATCTTAACAACATTAATTCTTCCAGTTCATGAGCACAGGATATCTTCCCATTTATTTGAATCTTCTTCAATTTCTTTCATCAATGTCTTATAGTAATCACTGTACAGGTCTTTTGCCTCCTTGGTTAAATTTATTCCTAGGTATTTTATTCATTTTGATGCAATTATAAATGGGACTTTCTTAATTTCCCTCTTTTGTTATTAGTGTATAGAAATGCTGCTGGTGTTTGTATATTGATTTTGTATCCTGTAACTTTACTGAATTTGTTTATTAGTTCTACCTTTTTCTGGTGGAGTTCTTAGGATTTTCTGTATATATCATGACATCTGCAAAAGATGTCAGTTTTACTCATTTCTTTCTGATTTGGATGACTTTTTTTTTCTTGCCTAATTACTCTGGCTAGGACTTCCAATACTATGTTTAATAAAAATGATGAGAGTGGGCCCCCTATCTTGTTCCTGATCTTAGAGGAAAAGTTTTCAGCCTTCAGCTTTTCACTGTTGAATATGATGTTAGCTTTTCACTGTTGAATATGATGTTAGCTGTATATATTTACCCCTTTTTATCTTGTGTATCCATTATTGTAGTTATATTAGTTTTTTTAATACTTTTGACTTTTAACCTTTATGCTAGATTTTAATGTGATTTACCACCATTGTTACAATATTAGAGTAGCCTGAATTTTATATTATTTATTTTTTTAAGATTTTATTTATTTATTCATGAGAGACAGAGAGAGAGGCAGAGGCAGAGGGAGAAGCAGGCTCCCCGCTGAGCAGGGAGCCTGATGTGGGACTTGATCCCAGAACCCTGGGATCATGGCCTGAGCTGAAGGCAGACGCTTCACGGACTAAGCCACCCAGGCTCCCTAGAGTAGCCTGAATTTTATTATATATTTATCTTTACCAGTGAGATTTATGCTTTCATATGTTTTTCTGTTACTAATAGGGGGTGTGTCCTCTGGATGGCAATCACAAAAGTCAGGGTGCCAAACTCTTGCACAAGTTCATTTCAGGTAGACACTGTCCTTGCAAGCTCATTAAGAACTGTTTCGTTGTCTGCTCTAGTCTTCTGGATCTTGTGGATATAAGCCCAATTAGCTCTCAGAGCAGGTGTTTTGGGGGCCCATCTCTCAAGAGGAAGTCTTAAAAGTTGGAGCACTAGATGTTGGGTCCAAACCCTTTACTTCTCATGGAGAACCTGGGGGCCATGAGTTCCCTTCTGATCACATGCCTCAATGCCAGGGGGTGAGTTTTATGCTGAGAGTGTGTCTCAGTCTTTCCTACCTGTTTCAGTGTAGGTATTCTCTCATTAGTCTGATGTGTAGGAATCACTCAGCTAGTTTATGGATTTCTTTGAGAGGGAAGTGATCCATATGTGGCTGTAGATTTGGTGTGTTGATGAAAGAGTTAAGTTCATGAGCCTCCAACATCTTATCTTGGACTAGAATACAGACTGCTTTTCTTTATTTCTTTCAGGAATAAAGTCATATCTGGCATAGCATTGCACTTGATGTTACCTTTTGCTTTAATCTATAATTGACTATACTTTGACTTGTTTATGTCAGATAGATGAATTGAAAGGGATATAATGGGGATTGCTTACAATTCCTTTAAATCTTTAATGTTGGTGTTAATTTCTTTACTCCTAGAATACTATATTGCTTCTTATGACTATTTTGGCCAGGGTTCCACTTGGTCACTTGGACCTCCCTGCCATAATAATTCTTATTCTATAGGTCAGCAAGAAAATGTGAATGTTCAGTTACACACAGACTATATTCATCCCAAGTATACACTTGGGAGATTTAGAGAAATAATCACACAGTGGACTGGCTGGATTACTATGGAATGAAGCAGACTGGGTCAGAGATTCCATATATCATCTAGCCTAAATCTTCCTCTCTAACTTGAGAGCTATGATAGCATTTCAAGCCTTTAGTCTTTTGTTTGTTTGTTTATATTCCCCCCTAAGTCTTTTAAAAAGTCTGAGTATTCTCTTTTTTCCCAGTGAAAAGTTAACTCTTTTAGTAAAGTGACTAAAGGCCCATCTGAGAAAAGAGTGAGGGAATATTTATCCTATGTACTTGTGGTGTTCGTGTAGACATTTATGAAGGCTTTAAAATTAGGAATGAATCAAGTCCTATATACATTTGTGGTTTTCCATGTAACTCACAGAGTTTTGACTCATAGAGAATTGAATGACTTCCTTTTATTCAATTATGAAGGCTTTAAAAAACCCTATGATATGAAAATATCTTTCTTGTATTTATTGAGTATGGTAGATTAAGGATGCCACATAATCTTTGATACTTTTATTGAGAAGAGGGGTCTATATTTCCTCCTCTTGAATCTAAGAAAAGAAACTAGGCACCCAAATTGGAAAGGAGCAAGTAAAATTATCTCTATTCATAGATGACATGATCTTATACACAGAAAATCCCAGCAAATTCACAAAACACAGGAGAGTTAATCAATGAATTCAGCAAAGCTTCAGAATACAAAGTCAATATACAGAAATCATACACTAGGAATGAACAATCCTAAAATGAAATTAAGAAAGCAGTTTCATTTATAATAACATCAAAAAGAAAAAATATAAATATAGGATTAACTTTAATCAAAGACTTGTATGCTGAAAACTACAAGACATTCATGAAAGAAATTAAAGATCTAAATAAACGAAAAGTCACCTCATGTTCATGAATTGGAAAGCTTAATATTGTTAGGATGGCGATATTGAAGATTCAGTGCAATCTCCGTTAAAGTCTCAAAGACATTATTTTTTTGCAAAACTAAGCAAATCATAAAATTTATATGGAATTACATTTATATATAACATTCCGTATTGTTACACCAATCTTGAAAAAGAAAGTAAAGTTGATAAACTTATATTTCCTGATTTCAAAACTGTCTAGCAGCTGTGGAAAACAATTTGGTGGTTCCTCGATAAGTTAAACATAAAATTATCATATGATCCCGCAATTTCACTCTTAGGTGCATAGCCAAAAGGTGGAAAGCAGGTATTCAAATACTTGTACATGAATGTTCATAGCAGCACTGTTCTCAATAGCTAAAAGGTGAAAACAACCCAAATGTCCATCGACTGATGAGTGGGTAAACAAAATATGATATATCTGTATTATTCAGCCATAAGAAGGAATAAATCTTGATACATGTTACAAAGTGGATGAAACTTATGTTACTGATACATTCTACCGTGTGGATGAAAAACCTTATGCTGAGTGAAAGAAGCCAGAAACAGAAAGCTATATATTGTACGATTCTAGTGATCTGAAACATTCAGAACAGGTAAATTCATAGAGACAAAGCCAACTAGTGCCATGCAAGAGCTAGGGGGCAGGAGGAGTAATAGGGAGTGACTGCTTAATGGGTGCTGGATTTACACTGGGGGCAATAAAAATGTTGTGGATTTTGATTGAGATGATGGTTGCCCAACATAAGGAATGTGTTAAATAACATGGAATGATACACTTAAAAATGGTTAATCTTGTTATATGAAATTTACTTCAATAATAAAAAAAAGTTATTATACTATCTCTTTTTTTCTTCAAGTAACTTTTTGTATGTATATAAGTAATTTAATTGTAAACTAGTCCAAAATATTTTCCAATGTATTCAGGATATGAATTTATTTTTTAAATTTTTCGTGGGGTTTCAACTTTCAACCCTGAGATCAAGAGTTACATGCTCTACCAACTGAGCCAGCCAGGAGCTCCCAGGATATAAATTAAAAAAAATAAAAATGGTATTTAAAATCAGTATAATAGCATTTCTAGTAAGGTTCAAAATCACTTACCTTGATGGGATCCCTTTTTCTTTTTTAGTGTTATACACCCAATTGAGCAATACTTTTCTAATAAAGGAAAGAAGTTTTTTGCTTTCAGAATAATTCTTTATTGTCTCAGGACTCATATATCTGGGGAAAAAAAGAAGTAATCATTAAACATGCTTTAAAATTTGGGGAATAGATTTAATGCAGTATTGTCAGAAAGCAGGAAGATGATTTTGTCCATTGATAACTGGAAATAGGACACTTTCATGAGCATAGGTCCAAGTCACAAAGTTGTAGATACAAGTAGATATATAATTATTAATTTAGATTCTGGGGCTCACTCATTAAAGAGAGAGTATAAAAAGTCAGAGATACATGGTTTAAAATAGAAAGGTCAGGTTCAGGGAAGAAAAGGATAACATGATTCAAATACATCCAGGTGTTCATGTTGTATCCCCCATTATCTGGTGAGGCAATGAACAAATTACCTCATTAAAATGTTTGCTCTACAAAACAGACATGAAAATATCCATGCCAGTTGGGAATAATTAAATAAGAAAGTATATATGAAGCATTCAGCCCATCTTACACATCCTCTTATCTCTTTGATGTTACCTTCTGGGCAGGTAGCTGGGGAATTAATGGACAAAATACAAGTGGTAAGTAAAGACTTAATGGTTAGTTGGAGAAGTTAGTGGTCCTAAAACCCCAAAAGACAGTTTGGTGCACATATCCCATTGTCTCTAGGTTTCTGCTGGCTTTTCTATCGAGGTAGCTCATATCTATGTGCTACGATTTGGTCTTAGCCAAATCCCTTGGTTTTCGTTATCTTAATTGGAAGGGGGATAGGGCTTTGTCCTTGGGTCTGAGACCCTACTTTAAAATATGGCTTAATTGGAGGGTGTTGGTGACTTAAATTCAAAGGTGGACCTTGTCCTTCCTATTGACTATACTGTTCTTACTCTGAAATTTAAGCAATTTCTCTGCTACAGGGATACAGATGTAATTGAAAAGAAGGAAGTCATTCAATTCTCTGTGATTCATAGAATGATACGGTAATTACATGGAAAACCACAAATGTATATAGGACTTGATTCATTCCTAATTTTAAAAATATTTATTGAACCTATCATGCTTGCTAAAAGCTGGGGAGAAACCATGAACAACTATAGATCTCTGTCCTTAAGGATCCAGCAGACTAAGGGAGTAAAACATGCAAGTAACAATTGCAGTAAACTAGGGGGTGTTGCTATGGAGATAATAACGAATAGGGCACTCTAGATCCAGCAAGTGGGGGGCATTTAAGGTAGTGTTGGGGAATCAGGAAACCTTCCTGAAATAATTAATGTCTCAGCTAAAATCTGGTCATTTCTTAAGTTCTCATGAATCCTAAAATTCTGTGATATCAGTAATTCAGGCTCCTGAATTCCTATTTTTTATCATCACATTCCCTGCTTAGACCTGATTTAGGAAGACAGTTGTGATCTCTTTAATTGGATAGTGAGGCAGCTTAAACTTCCAATGCGAGCTTCCCAAGGGGCTACTGATAGGAATGACAGGCAAGTTGCAAAGTCAACTCCAAGGCTAATAGTACTGACTATTAAGTGTAATTAACAGGAAGTTCTCTGGGGATTGGAACACAATTCCACTTATCCTACTATCCTGATATTCCCCATAGTGCCTGCCATATACATTTGCCCATATTAGTATGTAATATTTACCTCTTTAATGTATCACAAAAAATAATATATTCTAAAATGTGCCTTTGTTGTCCACTAGGAATCCTTCCAACCCTTTAACTCCCTTCTCCCCACTGTTGACCTCCTTTCTTTGGGTCTTCATAGGCATATTTTGCTTCCGCCTTCTTGGGGGATTTAAAGAAGAAAAATCAAGGCAATGGGTTGAATTGCTCTACACTGCTTTTTTTTTTTTTTTATATATTAACTTCTCCTGAGCAATGCAGCAATAATGCTTTTCAGCATGTTATTTATTCATCCATTTAAAAACTCTCACTGTACACTGTGAATCTGTCTTCTTTAAAGAGTGCATAATATTGTTTCTAAGTGATCACATTTGCCCAGTCCTCTTTGCCAGTCTCTTTCCCATAAGCATTTGAACAGCCTAGAGTGAGGGGGCAAATGGAAGCCCTTGTCCTTACACCTCATTCATCAAGAAAATAAAATTTTAAGTAAGATGTATTATATCTTCCTACCTTGACAAGCATGTCATAATGATTTGTATGGCTAGGTTTGAAATGGAATCTCTTATAGTCTTTGAAATCTGTACTTAAACTGCAATGAGATTGTGCTCCAGCATCTGGCTGCTTCTCTTCCCGCACACGGTTTATCCCTCTCTGTGCTGCAAGCCAGTACTCGTGAGTGGACACCATGCTGGGGCTTCTCTTAGCTTTCAGGCTATGCACACCAAAGGCCCAGTTTGCTTGCGAGATAATGGCCCAGGGGAAAGGCCCAAGAAAACCTTACAAATGAGCTTTGGGACCATTCGAGCAGGGAATTTTGGTGTCTTTAGTACCAGGAGTGTGGTTTATTTTATTTTATTATTTTATTTTTTATTTTTTAAAAAACTTTATTTGTCAGAGAGAGAGGGAGAGAAAGCATAAGCACGGGGAGTGGCAGGCAGAGGGAGAAGCAGGCTCCCTACTGAGCAGGGAGCCCAATGCGGAACTCGATCCCAGGACCCTGGGATCATGACCCGAGCTGAAGTCAGTTGCCTAACTGACTGAGCCACCCAGGCGTCCCAGGAGTGTGGTTTAGAACAAGAAGATATGTTATGTCCGGTCTTTGGGTGGACATCGTTGTAGCTACATGGCAGTTTAACTCTTCCCTTAGCCCACTCATATATCCTTTGTCCTTCCAAGGGGATCTGAGGCTACTGTCTAACATGCAGACTTCAAGGAACTCATTGTGTACTACATAGGCTTACAGCAAAAGAAGCTATTACAAAAATATTCTGGGTATTAAGAGAGAATATGCATTGGGAAGATGTGCCTGGAGGAATTAAGGGAGTCTTTGACCTTAGTGAGGCATTCAAGCAGTCTAAAAGGAAGAGTATTTTACTACAGCTCAGCTTTGGGGGCAAAAGGAAGAAAGGAAAAGCATCTTAGTTGGCAGCAGCAACATGTTCAAATGCACAGAAGTCTGAATAAGCAGAGCAAACTGGGAAACTGAACATAAGTGATTTGGCCTGATTTGGGGCTGCAGAGCAGGCAGCAGCTCAAACACGTAATACTGGATGATCCCAAGTTACCAGAAAGAGCAAGAAAACTCACTTGCACAATTTCCTAAATGCAGTGGCCTAGGATGGAAGGCTTCTCTTGCCAATGTACTTACTCTCCCTTCTTCTCTCCAAAGCTTCCCGCTGCACCTACCAGCACCTGGACTGCACTCTGGGACAGAGTCTCATTCCTATATTGTCTCTGGTAGCTTGCCTAAAAGAAATGTGCAAATTATTATATAGCATGGGTAACAATAACAACTTAATATTTTCTTTATGGAAAAATAGTCTGTAGAAAGAAGTCAAAATCCCTAAATATCTACTATCTCTATAAAAAGACTGTTTCTATGCAGTTCAGACCTCGCAATCAGTGCAGAAGGTCCGTCTGGGCTTTGGGTAAAACCAAACTGGTTCTGTGGGAAACTAGATTCCTGCTAGATGTTAATTAGGCTTTCAAAAATAAATGGTGTTCTGTGGCCGCTTAAACGGCCAAATAAATATGGGAATTTCCTGCTGCAAGTATATCCTCATCTTAACGGTTTATAATGCATATTAGAAAATTAAAGACTTTGAGAAATCCTATAGTAGAGAATCCTGGTTTATATCTTTAATTTCATTTTCCCAAATATTTTGACAACACAACTCTGTTGTCTCCAGTCTGTTATAAGCATTAAATGAACTGCCACTGTTGTACAGAAAACTGTCATTTGCTCATTTGGCCCATATATTGAGAGCCCACTTTGCTTCCGGCACTACCTCTGATGCTGAAGAGGCCACTGTCTGACACTGCCCCGGCCCCAGTGTGCTGAACACTGTCAAAAATCACTGTATGGACTAACTTCCTAAATTGGAATGTATGATATAACTAAAGACTTTTGCTTCCATAGAACATGACTTGTCTGCACAATCATGTATGGATTTTTTTTTAACATTTTTATTTATTTATTTGTCAGAGAGAGAGAGAGAGAGAGAGCACAAGCAGGGGGAGGGGCAGGCAGAGCAGGCTCCCCACTGAGCAAGGAGCCCAACGTGGGACTTGATCCCATGACCCTGGGATCACGACCCGAGTCGAAGGCAGACGCCTAACTGACTGAGCCACCCAGGCATCCCTCATTTATGGATATTAAAATGCAGCTTTGCTCTTGAGGGATCCCAGAAAGGGGTAAAACTAATTTTAAGAATGAGGGAACAAAGTGTATTTGTCTGTAACACAGGAACTCAACAGAGTAACACTGTTCTTCTTAAACTTAAAGTACTTATAAAATAATGTGAGATTAACATATTTTCAATATCCTCGAAGGTAAACACCATAGTTTGTAGAAAAATAAGGAAGCTGAAAGTAGTATGGAACTCATGAAAGCTTAGCAACACAAATGACAAAACAGACTCTAGAAAAATGTTAATTCTTAAATGATCATTCATACCAAAATGTAAGAAGAATTTAGAGAATGGTTGATTCCCTAAAATAACTGCCATTTATTGAGCTCCCTACCATACTATTAAATTAACTGATTTATATATATTTTGCAAAGAATCATTTAATCCTTACAGGAAATTTATGGGGAAGATAATCTAATCTGCATTTCACAGAGAGAAAGCTGAGGCTCAAAGAGTTAAGTATTTTTCCCAAGATCACATGAGAAACTCAGTTCTCTCTGAATTTAAAGCCTGTCTCCCTTTCCCCCTGTTATATGTGGGGGATGCCTCCTCTCCTGTACCACTGTCTCATCATGCTGTGCTTCCTCTTCTAATGTACAACAGTAGAGAAGGTATTGCCCAGTTAATAATAACTGGCTGAGATTTAAATAAAAGCTCTCAAGGCTTTGAGAAGTATAATAAACTGGTTAATATTATGGTTGGAGCAGTGAGCATTAGAATTGAGGTTGCAGAAACCAAATTAGCAAATGAAGGTAAACATGAAAATACGTCTAGAACAAAGAAGGGCTAAAAAGATGCGAGATGAGATAAAGAGCTGGAGAACAGAACAGAAAGATCCAACCTACTTCAAAAAAATAGGATTTCCTGGTTAAGACCCAATACATAGCACAAAATCAACAAAGATATAATGGTAGAAAACAAACATTTAGGGAAAAGTATGTGGAATGTATATTGCAGAAAACATAGAATATCACAAGTGAAAAAAATCTAGGAGGTCTTGCAGTTAGCATTTTCCTCTTTTACAGGCGGGCAGAATAAAGACTAAAAAGAGTTAAGTCCTGAGTCACATTATTAATGAAAGCAAGACTTAAAATGGAGTCTCCTGTATTGATTTGGAGGGTTCTTGAATACTATATAAATTAAAAATCTGGAAGTGACTCAAAGATATGGTATCATAAAATCTGCTGGTGAACAAAGCACTATATGGGCATAAGTTCATCCTTCATGGCACTACCTCAATTGCTTAAAGAAATTATTTAGGTTCTTGGAAAAGCTGCCTTTGAGAGTCAACCTCTCTGCCAGGACTAATGCTGAAGAGAGAACAATCGTACCCTATAGACCTTCCATTTCCCAAGTTAGAATGAATACATAGAACGCTTGGAATTCTGTATGGCTGGAATAGCCAAGACATGCATGAGAGTTCCATATGCAATGAGGAAGACCCACCATGAACATTTTGAGAGCATGAGTCATGGCAACGAGTCCATATCCTGACCTGGATAGTAAAATGGTAATTAGGCTATTAGCAATTTCCCACAGAGTCCAGCATGCTGCTGTGCCACAGAATTTCTCTAACTTTTATCCAAGATTTGATCTGAAAACTAGTCTCTACCTGCATTTATTAGCAGAGTTGGTGGTATCTTTCATGAAAAACTGGTGTGGACCTAGAGATGGGTGGTGTTGTGGAAATGCCTGCATAACACACCTGAAGGTTGAGTTCTGCTGTAATTCCTGCCTTGGGGTCTGTGAAATTCCCAAATCCTCTTAATAAAACACCTTTTATTTAGGCTAATTTGGATGGATCTATTTCCCTTTTCCTTCTTTTGGCAGTCAAACGGATTCCTAAGATAACGCCAAACTTCCCTTTGCCTTTGTAACAATCTATTAAGCTATGCAGGCAAGCCTAATCAAGATGTCTTTAGTGAAGGAAAACGTTTTCAGGATAATTTTAGGCCCAGATATCATTTTAAAAGTGTATGATCAAGTACTAACTATTTGTGCCGACAAGAGACGCCTGTTGGCCAGCTCCATTGCTTCGATGTTAAGGGTCTCATCTATTTCCTTGTTACAGTCTAGACATCTCACCTTTTGATGTTCTGTTGGGTCTCCTTGGCTCAACTAAGTGAAACAGAAATAAAAACAAACAAAAAAATAATACACGAATATTAACATACTGTTTATCATAACCCTCAAGCAATTCACCTAAAAATTTAGTTTGAAAAACTATAGAAAATCTGTTAAATACAGAAAAAGTGTTCAGGTGAGTTTCCTCATCATTTCACAGTTATCTAGAAGGTAAAATAATTGCCAGTTTTGGAGGAAAGGAGTTATGACATATTTTTATGTTTACATGGCATTATTGACATTTTATAAAAGCGACCACATATATGATCCCACTTTAAACCAATGGTTCTGGAAGTGTGGTCCCTCAGCAGCCTCAGCGTCACGTGGAAATTGTTAGAAATGAATATTCTCAGACCCCAACACAGACCTGCTAAATCAGAAAGAACAGGGCAGCAATCTGTGGTTTTATAAACCCATTCCATGATTCTTGCTGTTGATAAAATTTGATAATCACTGCCTTAACCTCATCACTTAAGGTAGAGTAGAAGGTGAACTTAGCATTGGGAGATGGGAATTATGGATAACTTCACTTTACAGTTGAGAAAAGCTGAAGCTTAGAGAAAATAGAAGATTTGCTCAAGATCACAAAGCTATTTATTAAGTGACAAAGCCAGGATACGAACCCAGATTTTCTGAGTCCAAGGCCAGTGCTCTAACTATAATACCCTAATATCCCCCATGTTTAATTATCTGCCTTCTGAAACAGATCAAGTATCAGAGTGGTGGCCTCAACCTTGACTTTGCACTAGAATCAGCTGGGTAAATGGAATAAAAACACATATTCCTGGGACCCACCAGACCATCTGCGTTATTAGCATCTCCTCAGTGGGGCTGGGAAATAAAGCCATATTTTGATAAGCTTTCTAGATGAATCTGATGCAGTCAGATTAGCAAGAAGGCACAATTGGGAGCTACTATAGAAAATAATTGGATGTGACTTGGTACTTGTCTTATCCAGAAATCCCGGCACTATTCTGTAGGCAGAGGGCTTGGTTCTGAGTCCCCATCCAGAGCTTCAAGCACTGGTTAGTGGATATGAAATGGATTTGGGGGAATCCTACTTTATAGAAACAAATTATCTTATTTCTACACTCCTAGAAGTTGGCTCCTTCTCCTATTGTATGACTCAGCAAAACATTGCAAAAACTGCATCATACAGTATGCATTGAAACATTGCATTGAAAACTGGATGTAACAGAGGAGATAACAAAGCAAGTGTAGCATTGAGAAGATTCCAGAACAACTTTTATTATTTCTCCTTATGGCAGCCATGACCGATTGGGGAGTTATATACCCTTCAGTGATTAAGAAGTCTGACCACGGAGATTCTAAAGCATATCTCAGAAGCAGGAGGTGACATCTCACCCACACCTAAACTTATGATACTGGCTTTGAATTCTATTTGATAGCAAAAAATAATATTAATCATAAGTGAGGGGCTAGCAAGTACTTGATAGTGTAAACAAATGCTAAGTAAATGCTGAACAAAGGCACCTGTTCACTGTCAATCTAATAAAAAACTAGCCATTTTCTCAGGCTCACTCTCCTCTTTTATGGCACCTTTTATAGGGAGCTCCAAAGCACTGCTCCTTCTTTTGAATTTACAACACTAAGATTCCTTTCTATTATGACAGTGGGTTACCAATGCAACTTCTCCGTCAATTACCAGTATTAAAACTGTGAATATTTGTAACATTTAGACTTACTTCAGGTAATGATATCTACTTTGAAGGAGTAAACAAAGATATGACTTGCTTACCGCATAAGGGTTTTGAAGTATAATTGCTTTCTCAACCATATTCCAATCCGCATTAGCAAGATCTTTGTCAAATTTGAGTGCAGAGGCTGCAGATTTGGTTAGCTCTTGAAAGTGTTGAAATGTACAATAAAGTGATTTATATTTTGTTGATGTGACATCACGAAGACCTTTGGTACGAAAAGTATGTTTTATCAATAATAAGGATACCACCATTTTAATATGGATTATACAGTTTCCTTTTGTGTCTACTGTCACAACTCTTTTTTATTGAAGTTAAAGACTCAACATAAATTGTATAATAATAGAAACATTAACAATTTCAAGCTTTTCTACTTTCGTACTCCTCAGAATAATAACAGTAATAGTTAATATTTATTGAGTGCTTACCATATGCTGAGAAAACACTTCTCAGCACATTGAACGTATTAAGTCTTTGATTACCTTGCCCATTGTTTAAAAGTCCCTTTTCCCGGTTTGATAGATGAGGAGACAGAAGAATAGAGGTGTAATGATTAATTTTATGTGTCAACTTGACTGGGCTACAGGATACCCAGATATTTGGTAATATTATTCTAGGTGTGTCTGTGAAGGTGTTTCTGGATAAGAATAACATTTAAATTGGTAGACTGGGTAAAGCAGATTGCCCTCCTCACTGCCGGCAAGCCTCACCCAAACCATTGGAGTCCTGAATAGAACAAAAGAAAATTCACTCTCTCTGCCTTATGGTCTTTGAGTTGAGACATCAGTCCTCTCCTGCCTTTGCATTTGGACAAGAAGTTACGCTCTGGCTTTCCTGGATCTCAGACTTTTGGACTGAAGATCTTGGACTTCTTAGCTTCCATGATCATGTGCACTAATTTCCTATAATAATATAATATATCCACGTACACAGAATAGATGACCCATACATATATAGGAGATACATATGTAGGAGATATATATGTAGGAGATACATATCTGTGTATATGTATATCTATACTTCCTACATACATATCCCATATATATGTATATATTTACAAATATACAGAATATAGGTAAATATACATATATTTAGGAAATACCTATGTAGGAAGTATCAATATAGATATATACATATATATATATATCCTACCTAAATGTAATGTCATGTATACACACACACACACGTGCACACACACACACACATATATGATAAGTATATATATTTATCTCCAGACCTCATTAAGGTTTGAAGGACTCTTCCTATCAGACACAAACTCCTTTTCATGAGCCATAGAAGCTTCCTTGGAAAGCAATAATGTTCCATGAGCAAATGTTCACTGCTCTCAATGCAAATAAACTCATGCTCCTCAATAAGAATTTTAAGTTTATTTAGCTACTAAGTAGAACATATGATACTCTTTGCAAAACTCCCCCTCTTTAATCTTTTCTTCCCAATTTACTGTGTTAAGGCTCAGAGAATTTTAAAAAGAAAAGAGAAAAGGTTTTGCTGCAAATACAAGGAAGGAAGGCAGATTGGGTAATGATTGGTCATCCATAAAGATGGAGTCTCAAGACTGATTAAAAATGCCATTAGGATGAAAGCTCTGTGTAACAGAAGGGGTGATAGAGCATTTGGGAATATAATGGATCGAAAGCATCAGGGTTATTTGTTTCTAGTTCCTCAACTGCCATTACCTCGTTGCATGACCTTGGGCAGGAACTTTTAACTCTCTAGATCTCCATTCTTCCCTTGTTAAAAAGTAGACGATGAAAATGGGCATACTGTATAAGGCAATTGCCTCCTACAACTGCTATTTCTGCTTCTATGCTCCTCATACCATGCAATCAGTTATCCACAGAACAAAAGTTAACCATATAATTACATTTACTTGCTTAAAACTGGCCAAGGAACTCCTCTTGCCCTTAGAATAAAATCTTAAAATCTGAGGCCCTTCATTACTTAACTCCTTTCTACCTCTCCCATCTGGACATTCTCCACTATCTGCTTGTTCTCAAAGGGTCAAACCCTCTGTCCTTGAACACACTCAGTTTCTAGCTTCCTCAGGAACCTAGCACCCATTGAATTTTCTATCTTATGTATGTGTGATTTGTTTACTTTGATGTGCATATGACTCTCTGGTCCTGCCTCATATGACCTGTTAACTGTCTGTTTCTCCTTTCTCCAATGTAAGCTCCATGGATATAGAAATCTTGTCTGTCTTCATAATGCATCATTATCAGTTAGAGTAGAGCCTGGCAGATAGAAGGCTTTCAATAAAAGTTTGTTGAATAATTGAATAAACTTATTGTATTATTTTATTTAAACTAGACTAATGCAAATAAGTAATCTTTTTAAATTTACAAGCTTATTGGCCTAAACCGTTCATATGCTTTTTTAAAAAATTTATTTATTTGAGAGAGACAGAGATAGTGAGAGAGAGCACGAGTGGGAAGGAGGGGGAGAAGCACACTCCCCACTGAGCAGGGCGCCCAATGCAGGGCTTGGTCCCAGGACCCTGGGATCATGACCTGAGCCAAAGGCACCCCTGTTCATATGCTTTAATACACAGATCCAATTTCCTCTTCAGTTAGACACTTGATTTTCATTTATGCGGCTTCTTTCCTCCTTATTAGCAATTCTTTAGCATTTTTAGAATGTCTCTTCACTCGGGAATAGTAATTACTAGGGGTTACCTAGTAAGTAGTAGGGCTTATCTAGTAATTAGTAATTACTAGGGCTTACCTAGTTTACTAACTGCCATTGGCAAAATAAATCTATTGACAATCAAGGTAACTAAGCATACTGACACTCCATGAAATAATACCTAGAATAGAAAGAAAAATACAAAGTAAGTATTCATGATAATTTCTTGTAATACATTCTATATTTACCAGTGTAAATTAAACTAGATTTTACTAGGTAGATAAACGCTCATAGTAGGAGAGAATTTGAATGTCAGGCATGATGAAAGTACTCTGGGGATTCTCTATCTTCCTGCACATATTTTATCCATGTTTTTGGAACAAAATCAAGACTCAAGACATATGATTTGACAAGTAAACATATAGAGACATTGGGGGGAAAAAAAAGCTTGTCCCTAAATTCCATTGCTGCACTTCTTGGGCCTTCAGATATTGGGTGCTTCATATATTTTAACCAGTTTAATAGTTGTTTACTATAGGAAATAGGTCTGATATCCATTATTCAGCATGGCCAGAGTCAGAAGTCCACAGGCATAAGTAATTTGCTAAATGTTCCTGAAGCATTCTAGCATGCCTTCAAAGTTGAGGACCACTAAGTTAGTTAATTTAATAGTAGTACAAGCTAACATCTCTATAGTAAGTGTAGAGCACAATATGTCAGGCTTATTTAATCCTCACTACAATTCTATGAAGTAAATACCAATATTGTCCAATTACACAAGTGGGAAACTCAGGCAGTAACTAACCCATGGTCATTTAACTTGTGAGTCCTAGGGACAGTATTAAGTTATTTTTTTATTTTATTTTATTTTATTTTATTTTATTTTATTTTATT